ACAATATGGCACCCACAAGATAAAACCCACATTCCAGAATGGAGTATACAACATGACACCCACAAGATAAAACCCACATTCCAGAGTGGAGTATACAACATGACACCCACAAGGTAAATCCCATATAATAATGACATATCTAAACCCAGTGACATATACAATATAAGCAGCTTTGATTGAGATCTGATTAAAATTGTTTTTCACCAGTTCTTACATCACGTTCCAAATTGGATGTACATGACAATGAATATTACAGCAGCGATTGTATGCAATAATTACGTTAATAATAAAGTGAGGATTTAGTTCACAAAGGGTAAAAAAAAACTGGCCAATAAACATGAGTATTCAAGACAGTGTACCTGATAAAATACCGTACATTTATGACTTTATGGCAGGGTATACAACTGTCTATTATATTATCATGACCATGTCCCTATCTGCATGTGCAGCACATCTAAACATGAACAAGTAGTAAATTAATGGTTGCCTGGTAACATCCACATTTTCTGCTATTTAGGGTCCTATAACATTTAACTTCGAATTCAGGAAAGTACCAATGTGAAAATCTTTTTGTAATTATAAATGAGCCTTTCTTGTCCTAAAATGATACTGAGTACACTCATTTGTGACATTTCACAATGGTGTACAACTTCATAGACCCATTTCTTATAGTTCCAATACAAAGTGGAAGAATGAACATCCACCATGATGCATCAGGAATCACTGATATTTCCTTTAATATTCCATGGCTTAAAATGAAGACAAATGCCTGGATGCCCCACATGAGTGTACTAGTGAACTAATTTTTTTGACAAACAATAATTTATTATTTCATAGTTCTTATAATACTGCAAAATACTTTATTTTAGCTTCGCTGAATAGACTTTTTGGGTGTTTTGTATGGAATTTATTTTCACTGATTTTTTTCTGAGTTGAATGTAAAATATAGGAACAACGGTATATTCGCTGGATTTCATTTTCACTGAATCATTCTTTCAGCGAAAATAGCAAAAATAAAGTATTCTACAGTACACAAAATCATTCTCTTTTAGCATATTTTTGACAGGCACAAATTCCTTTCTAATATACTGCCACATAAAATACATTGACACCATTCTAAATAATCAAATATTTTCTTCACAATATTCAGAAATGTTCTCCTTTACCTTGGAAGTAAAAGAGACCTGTTTGTGATAAGGCTATATATACAAACTCAATTCCAACTACTCTGCACATCCCAACAATCTTTAAAAAGTTAGGCCAAAACTTGTTTGCCAGTTTAGTAGTACATCGAACTGGTTGTAGAAATGTGCAGAACATGGCTACCGAGATTTCAACATGGAGCCTTACCTCATCCGGAAGTGAGAATGACTTGGTCACTGATTCCAACGTTTTAACTGTTACGTCAATCATACTTGTGTCCTTTTAGTTACCATATACAAGTTCCTATCTTGTCACTAAAATTACTGCAATATACAGAAATAAACATTGGTTGGATAACATGTACGCATGATGACCAGTCTTTCTTGATATGTTGGCATCTTGTCTGGGTTTCTGTTAATTCTTCACAAATGGTGAATTAATTTCACAGTTAGCTACAACAAACAAATTTCCGCCGTCAAAATTTAAGATGCAATTACAAACAAAGAATTATTCTGGGACAACAGGGGTTGAAGAATATGGAATTTTTCCACTGGTCCAGGACTAGTGATAAGAAAATTGTCACTAGTCCGTGTAATAATTTCACTGGTCCTGAAGTGATGTTTTAACATTATTTTTTTATTTTCTAAAAGCATATATCATTTTTAATACTAAAATGATATACATGTACATGAGTAAGTTACTTTTTTGATACAATCTCAGGTAATGGAAGCATGTTCATCAGTTTTAGGTTGAGGTAACTTATGTCCTGATATATGCCTTGAAGTTGATGAAGATAACAACCATTCAACAATTGCTGGGTCAGGATTATAATCAGCTAAATCTGGTCCTTCAGACATAACAAATAATTGGTTCTGAAAATTGTTATGATTTAGTCTAGTTCTGAGTTCAGTTTTTATAACATTCACTTTAGAAAAACCTCTCTCACAAGCACTAGTACTAGGTGATACTGTCAACATATATTCCAATAATTTCTTAACTGGTGCACTAATAACATCATTTGCACTCTGTAGGATTATTGAGTATACATCTAAAAGTGTCTGTGACCTGTGTGTTTTGCAATAAAACTTCACGTTTAATCAATCATTAATTATTGTCTGTCTTTCTGATTCACTGAAATATGACTTAACTACTGTATTGTTCATGAGTTCATTAATATCTTCATTGCCATATGTAGCCAATTCTTGTTTATCCATAGGCCACTGATGAAAGTTCAGACACAACAACTGTTTAAATGGTGGTTCATTAAGTTCAATAAATCTGTTGTTTATATATTTAGTGGTATTGTCAATTAGTTTTTCAAAAACTGATGTATTATATTCAGCTGGTAATAAAATACCTTTAATTTCAATATCTCCAAATTTACGAGTTTCTGGTTCATAGCAGTCAATAAAATATTTCATATTCGTACTACCGATAGAAACAGTTTTCAGAGCATTTAACTTCATAATAGTTTGCTCAATTTTATCAGGAAGTTCAATAACTAACAATGTGTTTAACTGAAATACCCTTGACAAATTTGCAATAATTGGAAGAAAATCTAACAAACAATAGAGCATCTTCAGGAAAGATGACGATCTAATCGCCTTTAAATAACCCATTGCGCGGTTTGCATCATCGGCTCAATTACCAGTAGTATAATTGTGTTCTAAGTGTTTTACAACTGTTACAATATTTACCGCTAATGACTTCACTGCGCGTTCTTTGTTCGAAGTCCGTCTCAAATATATTGGCAATCTCCTTAAGTTCACGTCGACGTTTCACGAAATAGTGGTAAAAATGAAATATCCCCTTTAACGTGGCCTCGAAGTCTGATATTTGTTTCACAGATTTACAAGCGTCCAAAATCGCCAATTCCGACTTGTGCGCCACACAATGAATACCAATAGATGACGGGACAACGTCTTTTATTTTCGTGACGACACCCGTCTTCTTTCCCATATTTACGGAGGCACCATCAAAGTTTGATGATATAAGAGATGGTTTTTTCTCCCTATCAGGGTTGAGATCGTCCAAATTTAAATCAACACTTGATAATCCATTCGTCAAGGCATCAAAAACCCCCTGTGATGTGGCATTTTCTACCGATGTATTCGCAACCTCGCGGGTGACAGGTAACTGGCCAACATAGCGTACATAGGTAATTTCCTGTTCAATAATTGATTTGTCGGTATTACCCTCGCCAAGAACACTGATAAAATTCACTGTCTTGATTTTGTTGGATATGTCCTTTTTTAATGTTGAAGCAAGGTGTTCCATAAATTCCATACAGCCATGACTATTAACATAATTTTCTCTGAGCGTTAATCCATTTTTCTTTTGAATACCACAAATAAATTCAAAGTCAGAAAAAGGCTTTCATGCTTTGGCGACCGCATATGCGGTGTTGAATAAATATCTCATTCGGTCTTGGTTTTCTTTACCTATTCGCGTGAAGGATTTGACGATACGAGTTTCAAATACATTTTCCGGTGACACTGGCGTTGCTGCTCGGCCATCTTTATCTCTCAAGAACTGTCGGCTACAGGATAAGTGTTCGATGGTGACATCGTGAGATCGTAGCGAATCGAGTTTCAAATTAGTCGTTCCTTTCACAAAGGCACTTGACTTATCAGATGACACCGGATAGTTTCGGCAATATTCACAGAAATAGTAATTGTAACTTCATCATAGCGTACCCAAGGAAATTCAGTTGTCTCACGATCATATTTCTTGTCCTTCGTCAAGTTCGCGAGTTTCTCTGGTTCACTATGACTTGATGTCACATTGTACTTCTGTTTTTTAGACGGAACTTCTTCTGTCTCATGGTCATCACTCCCTTTAGATTTTTTAGTTTGACTAAACCCAAAATCAAACAAACTGTTACTCATGGCTGCTGTACACAAATAATGTTTGCGTGTGCAGAATTCATTGTATTGCTGTCACGCACAAAGTACACCCACATCATTGATGTTTCCTCGCGCTATATTATTGACCAATTACAGTCTGCGTAAGAAAACGGAGGACGTCACTACGTTTC